AAAACATGACGTTGAGCTGATGGAATCCTGATGCGTCACAAGCCACATGACCCTGACACCTGATCAAAGGTGATGAGGCTTGACATGAAGGCAGAAGAAGTTCAACTTAGAAAGACCCGATGGACATCGATGGAATCTCAACTACATATGGAATTCTTGGATCAGAAAACCAATGACATCTTGGATGATGGGATTCTGACATTTTCGTCTGAATTTCGTCTCACCTGGAATTGACCACCTCTGTATTGCTCCAATGGAACCTGACGCACATCTGACGCCCAAGGTCTGGCGGGCCTTGTGCAGCTGGATGGGCAAGCAAATCTGTGACTTGGCTGGCTCAAAGCGGTCCAAAAGAGCATCTGTCCTTGGCCGAGCATCCGCACATGGTCATGTTATTTATATTCATATTCTTTGAGCATGTGGCTGGAGCTGCATGGAAACGGGAAACAGGGTCTTTCTACTTCATCTCCAAATCGTGGGGCAAGAACTGTAGCTCTGCTTGCATCCAAATCTCACTCTATGAGGACTTTGACGACAAAAAGGTGGGTAACGCTGATGTTGGCAGAGGTGAGACCTGTTTGTTCCACAAGTTTATCTTGTAGGGACCCAACATCGAGCAGGGAACCCAGAAGAAGTAGGCATCGCAGACCGCTTTGACAGACACGAGGCTGCTTGCTCCTTGCTTTCTTTCAATCGTTCAAGGACCGGGCTCGGCTTGTCCTCCCAGTCCACCCCTCCCTAGACTACCGTCGCCCCACCTTCTTCGGGCGACGTTGCCCGAGGTTAGATGAGCACCTCTTAGACCTTTACATCTACTATGCTCGACACCCGGAGACCCGGAGGGAGACGGCAGGTGGTGGGTGATAGGTGGATTTGAAGCACATCACTAAACTCTTCCCCCGTCGCATGGAACAGATCCTACAAAGACTCTCTTTTTGATTCCTGGTGAGTATTTGAACCAGACATTTTTTTGATGCGGTCGCTGCTGGTCATGCTGAGGCATTGATCGCCATGCAAAGCGCACAGCCCAGGCGCAGGGCGTTGCGCCAGAGGGGCACTTCGGTCTGAAGACTGACGTAGCAGACATGCGATTGGAATTCCTACCCCTGAAGGGCTGTTGGGACTCCACTCCAATTATGCAGATGGGGACTTCACGCCCTTTTTTAATGCATTTGTGGTTTCCTCTTGTTTTGTCCTTTCAACCAGAATCACCATGCCTGTCTGGCAGGACGCGAGTAGCGGGCTTGTCCATCTTGTGTAGCATCACCCAGTGGGCCTCGCATGAATCAGCCACTGGACTGCAACGAAAGAGTCGAAGACCGCGGACCTGCGACGGTGCAAAGGCGAGGTTGGTTGCCGGAAGTGCAAAGACTGTCCCGCAAAAAGCCCAGTAAAGGAAGATAGGGAAGTGTGCCTGAAATGAGGTCCACCACTAGTCCAGTGAGACGATTCTTTTCCTATATACAGTTCGTTCAGATTCTCAAAGCAGCCGAACATGCATCGGACTGACCGAGGTGGTTGCGCTACTTCCCAACTTCTTCGCCCTGTGCAATGATGAGTGGTGGGAGGCGAGATGCCCAGAGGTCCAGAGGTCCGCCTCGAGCACTTCGGACCGGGTGCGACCAGACCGGCCTCACCAGGTAGTCCAGTTCTGACATGGCTGTGTCATGGCTACCCGCAGCCCAGAACGCACCCTGGGAGGTTGACCCTCCTTGTCCAGCCATCTCAGTTCTGTTCTTCCTCTGGGTGGTCAATTCCTGTAGGTCTCGCGGAACTGTGGGACCTGAGAGAACGTGAGAGATCTATGAGTTGGTCTTCCAACTGCCTTGACTGGTGCGCCCTTCGTGCTTGGCGTAGCCGAGCAAAAATCACCAGACTGTACCCTTGGGGACACCTAGACAGACTTTCGCTCAAGTCGGCCAACAGTTAGGAGCAACCAGCGGTTGAAAGGAGACCATTTTGGTGTTTTCACAATTTTAATGCCAGAACTACTCAGTCATCAAGCCAGGATGCCCTATTAATGACCACCACATGCGCCATCATGTGCCTGTGCCTTCCGTGCTCTTTTTGGCCACCCTATTGGACTCCCCTGCTTGTAACAACTTAAAAAGACACTCGCTTCATGGCCACGGTTCCACCCTGCGCTTCCCACCCGGTCCTGCCGCGTCCCGCCGCGTCCCGGGAGGTCCAAGCGCAGCTCTTGCGTCTGTCGGCGCGGCTGCTGCAGCGTTTGGCCTCCGAACGGGGCGAGGGAGGCCACGAAGGCGCGCGGTCTCACGGTTTCCGCGCGCGGTCTGGGGCGCGACCTGGGGAGCGGTGTGGTGGTGTTGACCTGTTGACCAGTCATGTTGGTGTAGAACCAATTGTCCAGAATGACACTCCGCCTAGTCTCCAGTGCCGGCCAGACCACAAAATAGTGAAGACCAGGAAACTGTGAGGAGTGAAGCCTCTTCCACCCAAAAAACCTTCCAACAAACCATGGGTTCGGTTGACATCTCAAACATACATAGGGGAATCCGTTCATTTTCCGTGGTCACCCGGGTTTTGACCCACAACCATATAGAAGATATGGAAGATGAAGATGATCAAAGATGGATGACCTACTGTAGTGTACAAAGTAGTATTTCAACACACCACAGGTACAGTGGAAACCAGCAGCACAACAGGACCTGGGTCACACCCACAAGAGTTGCAGCCTTCACATTGACGGGATAAAAGGCGTTCAAACCAAACGGCCCCAGGCGTCTTAATTTGGTGTGCTGGCGATGATGGCGTTCAACATGTTTGCATGTATATAACCAGTGTAGAGTGGGGTTTACATAGTGAGTATGAGCTCACGAGCCACTCTTTTGACCAATCCCTACATAGTCAACACCCTACAGACGCTGGAGTGTTCATCCCGGCCATCAAATCCCATGTCCGCTTTCTGACAGGCGTCCGCAATGAGGATGGGACCGCCAGCCAGGGGCCAAAATGATGGATGTGAGAAGCAGATGTTGCCAAGATGATCATCAATATGGCATTCATTTAACAATGAGGCTAAGAATATATGTTGCCAAGAGGCTAAGAATACATGGTGAGGACAAATAACGCCAGATAGCTGTTCTCCACCTCGTGACAGCCCTGGGGACCGCTGCACGATCCACACAGGGTCTTCTATTGATTGGATCCCATTTTAGAATTCAAAAAAGGGAGGGACCGATCCGTTCCCCCCACATGCTGTGTGTATGGGACTTTTCATGGGACTGGTCTCCCAAGGGCCTGGATGCTCGGCTCGGACGTCATTTTCCCCCCAGTAAAGCAGTCTCGAACACCGTTTCCTTCTTCATTTGGATCACGCTCCGTTCAATGACCTTTTTTCTGCCAAGGTGGAGCCAGCAAGCCTGAAGAGGCTGAGGTGGGCAAAAGGATGAATCGTCTATGGGCTTTCCCTGAAACCTAAGGTAGTACCGTTGTGGCTACGTAGTGCTCTTTGTTGCAGATGCATACTGCTGCCACTTTCTGCTGCCTGGGGGGTTATAATTTTTTTGTTTTCTATTTCAAGAGAAAGGGGAGAAGGTCCTCTGTTGGAGAATCCTTTGTCGTAGCAGTCCGGTGATGGAAGAGCTTGACTCTGGACACCATTTGTATGAGATTTCCCTTTTGCATGGCGACGCAGGATCTATCTTAGAGTTATCTTAGCCGTGCAGGATTCCTTTCTTTAAACTTTCAACGGGCCGACTTGGTTTGGTGGCCAAGTCGGCCACTTCTGGGCTGTCCACCGGCCGCTGTCCAGACCGATTCCCGGTCGCCAACGGGGGCGACATGGTGGTCCAACAGGGCCAGTGGCTGCTAGTAGCGAGGGCATCGCTACTAGTAACAAGAAGCTAGTAGTAGCGATGCACTTGCTACTAGTAGCTTCTAGCTGTTCTTGTCATGACCAGTTTCCAAGTTTACCAGGGGCAACCCACGCCAGGCCATGCCAAGCCGCTTGCGAGCGAAGGCAACACTCACAAAGCTCGAAGCATGAACTCCCATTGGTTTTGAATGTTGATGTTTTCCTTGTGATGTACAAGCATGCAGTGACCACTTGGGTTTCCACTCCGCAGAATCTAGGGAAGTGGCGACAAGCGTCGAACGGGTGCAAACAATCTGTGAGCTTGACTTGTTTGCTGCCTTGGCAGCCAACATCCTGACTTGGATATGCGACTAAAAGCTAGCTCCGTCCTGCATTCTGTGCTAGGCGGCTAGGCCACCGGAGGATTCACATATCCACAGCTTGGTGCAGCGGTTGGAGGGGCGTCCTTGACTTGCTCTACCATTCACTGATGACTTTGCTTCAGGGGTCGGGTCAGCGCTGCTCACAGATACCCCACCTGAACTTCTCAGTTGTTGAGTGCGGCTTGGGACCCACGGCTGGATGCAGTCCGGACTCTGGATGGAACTTGTCACTCAAGTCACTACTCCAGTCACTACTCCACAAGTCCTCACTCAGTCTTCCTTACTCGGCCCTACTCCAGTCACTCAGTCAGTCGCATTTCCCTACTCCACGGCCATTGGACACCACGTCCCGCAGCTTCCGAACCCACCAGCCGGACCGACCTATGGCCCCAGTCCGCGTTGAGGGTGGGCCGGGCGGACCAGCCGGCCAGCCTTGGCCTTGCCTTCTTCGATCCGAAGCGTTGGCGATCGGTCCGCCCAATCCGGTTCCAGTCGAAGAAAGCATGGATCCCGATGGAGGAAAGCGATCAGGTCCTCCTGTGTGATCTACTGGAGGACAAAGAGTGCCACAGTGGTGTCATGGCGCGCAGTACATTAGTAGATACTTAGCACCAATGTGGAAAGCCCTGAGACCAAGACTTGGATGACAAACAGATGAGAAAAACTGTGACCAAGACTTGCAGCACGCAAAGGGTGTCCAACAAGACTGGGGTGGATCTGGACGGTGCTGGTACTATTCCGTTCTTTTTTTACAGCATCCGAACTGCATGTTCACCGCTTCGGAGGCCACCGTCGAGACCATGATTGAAGATGTGCTGAATATGGTCGGCCGGCTTTTTGTGGTCTCGAACTCCAAGAATGTTTTGCAGGCAGGGTTGAGCGAGCTCCTAGAAGTCCAAAGGTCTTTCTAGCAAACTTCAAGCAACCGTCGCGAGTCTTTCCCAAACAGCTTTTTGCGTCTTGGGGAAGACCAAGAGAGCAAAGGTATTTGGGATTCAGCTGACCACTTCATTTCGAAACCCACCAAGAGATCCACACGCAGCTCGTCGATCTGCCTACTCTTTGATGTCCGGAGACCGATACCAAAGTTGGTCCGTTGGTCCTTCTGGGAAGAGGAGTACACAGTCACGCACCCTTGTGGGAGTTTGTTTGTTTGTGTGTATGTGTTTTTCCAGTTTTTGCGTAGTGTAGCGAGGGTAATTTGACGACTTGACCCTACCCAAGAGTAGTGTACAGATGTTTTGTTTGGCGCTTTCCGAAGCAACGTGCCTCTAGAGGAGCAGGCTGCACGGGCTGCACGGGCTGCACGGGCTGCACGGGCTGCACTTCCTTCAAAAAAACATTGATGAGTAAGCGTCTTCTCAGCGAACATACCAGCACCACCCGGATAGCATGGTTATAGTCATGGTTATTTATTTGCTGGCAAACACAGACCATCTCCGATCAAGGTCAAGGATCCCGGCTCCATTGTTTGATTTGTTTGACGAACCATCTTTGGCCCATCCAAGCTCCAACGTGAAAAAGCCCAAACGAGAATAGCTGTTCAATGACATTCACACTAGTTTTGGAAAGAGTGTGAATGAGGTTTGAGGTCTTCTGTGTTTGGAAAGAGTTCTAGAGTGCTCAATGACATTCATGAGGTCAGAGGTCTTCTGGTCACTTTTTGTCAAAATCTGACATGTTTCTCTACGCTTCGTTCACCATCTGCTCTCTCCGCCGCGCTGCCGCCCTGGTGCGCTCGGCGCTGGGCACCTTCAGGTAGGTCTGAGTGGCCTGGTCCATGTGCTCCAGGACTACCCGAACCTCTTGCCCAACTTCGTCCGAGGCCCCAGGATGAATGACCTTGGATGCTCAACATGTGACATGGGATGTGAACGACATGGGAGGATGGGTGCTGGTGGGGTGCGGGGCAGGTCGATGAGAGCTGATTTGGGGGTAGATGTGCAAGGGCAGGAAGAGTTGATGTCAAGAACGACCTTTGGAGAAATTGAGAGGCAGGTGGTGTTAACGGAGGCCTCCAGGAGGATTCGGGAAGATGTTCATTCTTCTTTAGAGGGGCTTCATTGTCAATGACACAAATTCTTCACAGGCGGATGACCCAGCTCTGCCCACTGCTCTCTTGGTACTGTGCGGATTGGTTTGAGGGTTTACAGGGGGTGCTCTTGACGGATGTCGATCTGGTCTGCACTAGCAGATGTGGTTGCAATTGGATCTACTGAGAGAGATATTGCGACCGCCCCATAGAATTGGGATGCTGTATTTCACAGGATCTTGTAGCTTTTGCATCAGTGTTGGACATGCCTGTCAACAGGATCGCAGAGGTGAGCATGCTGAGGTATCCCATCAGGGGACGATGCTCCTCCGTCGAATCTATCCAAAGACCATCGCACAATCTGTTGCCAGCGGAAATCGATAAACCATTTCTTTTTAATCTTGAGGAGTCCGCGAATGGTGAACTGTGGACAAACACCGCTCTTTGTGCCATTTTCTTCGGAACTTGGGCGCATGAACACCTTGGAAGCCAGGATGCCGAACTGGATGCTTGTATCACCCTCTTGGACTCTTCGGCATGTCTGGGCGTTCGCCTTTCTCGGATGCTGCACAGGTGGCCGTTTTACTTGGACAAAGCCCTGAGTACCGGCGGCGCTTGTTGGACGAGGCCGCTGACTCGGAGAGCCTCGTTGGACTGAGCAGGTCTCCAGTCCCTCGGGGTGATGGACTGGACGAAGGTTTGGAGATGTTGGATCAGGGGGAAGAAAGAGGTCGTCTTCAGTTGCAAGGGGTGATGCACTGGACGTCGAGAGGTGAGCTCACCCTGGGAGCAACTGAAGTGAAGTAGCTCAGAAGTAGCTGGTGAAGTGAAAACGACGGCGAGGAAGCGCTAAGCAGACCATCATTTCCGGGTGGCGGCCGGTGACGCTTTCAGGCCAGCCCACTATCCAAGCTTCATCAAGCTTCCAAGCGTTCAAAGGGTTCACCCGCAGGGTCTCTCGTTCCTCACATTTTTTGTTTGAAAGCTATTGGCTAGAATTGGCTAGATACTCTCACACCCTGGACACAGAATCAATCTTGAAGTGGCCGTATGAAATCGCCAATGAGTGAAACAGTTAAACCCACTCATCCATTGCAGAAGTGAGCACTCAATCCACAAAATCCGGTGCCAAAGTTGCTGTGAGTGTGGACTCTTTTTTTCCTCACCTGATTCTCAAATCATACTTGCTCTACTAGTAACAAGAAGCTACTAGGAACAAGTGCCACGCTAGTAGTAACAA